TTTATTGTGAACATCAGGCAGAAGATAATTCTATTTTTAGAAAAACCTTTTCAGTAATATTTTCTAAAATGACTTTTATGTATAGAATACTGCAAAATCGATACTCTGCATGTGGTAAATTCAGCACTATGCAATAAACCCTTAAGTGAATTGAAAAACAATTGTTACAGTTATCAAATGATGCATGGTAATGGAATCACAACTTGTATTGTGTTTTTAAGAATTTATGCTTTTGTCTGTGCGATGCTTAAAGTGGTATAAAAATGTTACTTATCTTAGACTTTCATCCTGCTATACATGTCAGCTCAATAGGCTACAGCTAAACAGGGCATTTTTAGTAGATCAATAATGCTACTTAAATTGTTAGCTATTCTTTGCTAGGAGGATCACTGATTAGATGGAACAAATGGTTCTTTATGGCGTAAGCTATGCAAGAAGCGTGTAATGTCGCTTGAGCCATAGTGGGAAGGGGCTCTTGACTGTTGGAAGCTTGGCAGACTTTCTGAGCTGTTTTGCATCCAATTGTTAATCCTTACCTCATTGGTATTCAAAATATTGGGTGGGGTCAGACATTATCATTTATATACACATGCCTTGGGCAGATGCTTCTTTTTGAGGCTCCGGCACCCGCAGGAAAAGCTTCCAGCTTCCAAAAGGAAAAGTTTCCAACACCTGCTTAACCAGCTGTCTTCCTGCTATCTCTTTTTTTGTCTCTCTTTTCCTTTTTACCACTTTTTCCCCCTTTCGCTTTGCACACTGCCTTCCAGTGTTCCTTTGGACACCTTGAGCTTGATTCAACACATCAAAAAGATTCAAGAAAGGGGACAGGCCTCATGTCTTCTTCCCCTCCTAATACATCCACTAATACTGCTCTTCATGTAAGCGTTCTGTTGCCTGCGACTCCTAGGCCTGTGAGACTTTCTTGCAGGTCCAGACCTGCCTCTTGCCTCAGCCCCAGCCTAAACTTTGCTCCAGGAAGCAGTGGTATAAGGCCAGATGGCTGAGGGACTACTGGAACTGGGTGTGCTGGTCCTGCCACCGAAGCTTACTCTTATTCCTTTGCAAAGCAGCAGGGTGGCTCCTGGGAAGCCTCTTGATTTCCCTGCACAACACACAATGAGAGGGGGGGGGGGAGGTTCGAGGGGGTTCACCTCCTGCAGCACCCACACAATTAACCCTCAGCTCTTCTCCTCCTTCTCAGGTCACTCTAATTCAGCGGGATATATTACTTGTATGTACCTCGGCATGAATGCCTACATCTTTAATCCTTTCCTTTGCACCCCTACCTCAACACAGAGATCATACATTGACCCAAATGTGCCTACTCTACCTGCTAGGTGGTCCCATGACACCCAACGTCCACCACATCTTTCAGCTACCACTTCTAAATACAACAATAAGAAATAATAGCATTTCCAGGACTTCATCTGATCTAATAAAAGAAAAAATATGGAAGTGCAAATGTGATGATCTTCTATCCCTTGTCCATCTAGATAAGTAAGTTCACAAATCCAGGTGTATTCACAAACCTAAACAGCTTCTGACAACATTTGGTAACTGGCTGTTTAACTATGACACACAGTTCAGGAAAAAATGTCTGCAAGGAAAGATCTTCATTTTGATTGGCAAAATGGGAGCCTATGACTTTTATTGGTGTGCCCACACTGACTCTTTCCCTTTCAATTTGCTGCCGGCACTTCTGCAGGAGAATTGACAGTACCCAAAAAAGTAGTGTGTTGTCTTTTCAATGAAAGCCGCTGCAGATGGTATACTGCTTGCAGAATAAAGTACCGGTGTTCCATCTGTGGAGGTGCCAATCCAGCTGTCCACTGCTTTGCAAAAGGCAAGACAGCCTAGCAGCAAGGCAGGCACAACGCCAGGGCTTCCCAAATCAGAGGACATCAGTGAGAGTAGCAAGGGTGTCTTCAGGGTTAGACAGATATCTGCTGCATAACACAGAGGTTAGCATCTTTTGTGAAGGGTGAGGCATTGGTTTTTGGATCCCCTGTAGTCTGTCTAATGAAGCTAAAGAGTCAGACAGCTTAAAATCTGTTGCTACTTTAAGTCAATTGTTGCCGAAAATATCTGCAAAGAAGTTGAATTGGGTCACATGGCCAGCCTATACTCCTACCATCACTATCACAATGTTAGGGTATCCCCATTGGATATTGTCTGCAAAAAAGAATCTGGTAAATATCATTTAATACACAACCTTCCCCATCCAATTAGAATGTCCATTAATGATGGTGTAGCCAAAGAAAAATTGAAGGTCCAATACACATCCTTTGACAAGGCCTCGTTAGAGCAGCTGGAGCACGTGTTGCTAAAACTGCACATCTTTTCAGCTACCTAGAGTATTCAAAAATGAGTATTCAGTTCTACCAAAGTTATACCATCTTTTTCAGGACAAAGTCTGCCAGGTGCTATTGGGGACGGAGTGGGTACAGTGCACAATTAAACACGCTACCAACACAAAAACATATCGGCGACAACTATATGTAGCAGCACACAATAATATCTGCCTCTGTGCTGCCACATGCAGTATATGTGTACGGCTGGTGGGAAGGTGTTAATGATGATTGTATGCCTCACCATGGCTTGTTCTACCTCTTGGTATTACTTCAAGATGTTTAGTAGTTTTCTTGAATGGATGGTCCAGTAGATAGCAGGATTATACTTCTCATAGGTCCTCTAGATATTGCACTCTATCAGTACCTTCTACAAAATGTTTAGAATATTTGCATGGAATTTGTAGTCCTTGTGTTGGCTGCTAAAACAAAGGGCCCTACTCATGTTTTGTTCTTTTTGGACATAGTGATAGCCACTATAAACGATATGATAATGAATTTCCACTTGCATGACAAATCGGAATGCTTATTTTTAAACAGAAATTAAAACTTATCCAAAGTAGCTAACAGACTTTTTTTAATAAAATCATAAGAGTTAATAAACCAAAGCAGGCTGACATGGCAGTTTTGCTATCTGTTTTAGCCAATTATAATGGCCATCCTGCTGACAATTGGAGCAAGTGCCTAATTTTGCTTTGGAATTTTATATGAATTTTATATGAATGGCACAGAACGCTGCAGTTTTGGTTCCTTTTTTTTAAAGAAGAACTCTAGGAAATGTTTTTATTGCAGTGGGGCTACCCCTGCACTGCAAAGGTTAAGTGTTTGTGTCTAGGTTCAAATAAAGTTAGACTCACCTGATACTCCGCGCTTGCTTCTTCTTAAACCAGTCCTTCCAATGTCTCTCCCCCTTTGCAGCGGTCTAAAATCAACGTCTATACATAGTGTATATACGTGAGAACCCTGAAGAAGATTCCAATGGGAGGAAGAGACAGGCTGGTAGAAGTACTGTTATAGCTGGCCGGCTCGGAGCTTCAGATGAGTATAATTTTGTTATTTTAGCACCCAGGCAAAAGCAAACAAGCCCCACTGCAAGGGTTAATAAAAAAAATCCTGGAGTTTTTCGGTGCCAAGATGCTTGGTCGGCCTCATGGGCTCAGACTGATCTATTGCATAACCTTACCTTGTTGGAGCTTTTTCCTCCTGTCTCCTGTCTCGCAATTGAACTGTGAAAAGCTGAGGAACAGAGGCTTGTTATTTTTGACCAATAACCTCAGCGTGGACCATGTTAATAATCAACTGTCCTCTTCCTCCCCTGCAGTTACATCGCCCTGCATTTCCTGGTTCTTAAATGTTTTGTTCAAAGCAATAAATGTTTTAGGTGTCAATAATGTTATTTGCCTTTTCTGGTTTTCAGAGGGATCTATTCCATTTTCTGGCCCATAATGTGGTTCAGTTTATATGCGTTTAAACATGTACACATCTGTAAAAAGAGTTAACATTCACAAAATCCCTGTTCTAGTTTTTCTTAGTTTTCCCTAGCTTTGCATGTATGTATGTACATGTTCACATGCATACACGCAAATTAAGCAGAAATACTGTGTGCGTGTGTAAAACTTTCCACTTTAATTTATGCAACTGAATGCATCATAAGATTACTGAGCACAACACAGCTGTGTGCACAGGCCCAAAATATACAATACTGCTGCATTCAGATCTGTAAAGATTATATGCTGCAAGAATAGGGACGCATCATTTTTATAAAGTAGCTTCAGTTTTCACATGGAAACAAGACTTGAAAAATATGAAATAATCTCAGAAATAATTGACACAGATCACTGTTTTAGCACATTTATTCCTTGTTCATGCATCCAATCATCACATGTTACTGGCTGCAGAATTATCTGCTTTATTTAACACCATTTATTATTATAGGCTATCAATATACAGTTCCATAATAAATCAATGAACAACTAGTCTGTTTCCTACCAACATGTTGCATTGACAATAACATTCAATTGTTTTGTGTACACAAGCCTATCCCACCTCAACCTAACAGCTGAACTATCACTTTCTCAAACAATTCATCCCCACACAGCTATCTCCTCATATATCACTGGCCCCTCCTTTTTAGATTGTAAGCCCTCATGGGGAGGGCCCGCCTTACCATCTTGTCTTGAATTGTAGTGTGATTGTAATGTCTTCCTTATATTGTAAAGCACTATGCAAACTGTTGGCGTTATATAAATCCTGTATAATAATAATAATAGTACTACAGACAGGTTTGCAATCAATTACAGAAATTTTCAGAAGCAAGATCTCCCATGTAGTTTAGCTTTAAAGGGAAATAATTATTTATTATTTAAATTCTGGGAGATCTGCCACACAGTGGTTGTTTTTGTCATACCAACAAATGGTGGCGACTTAGTAGCTAGTTGATGATGTCTCCGGGAAAACTCTCAGCCAGATCCCCAGGCATCTGAGCAGTCTTTAGTTTCAAGTGAATGCTAATAAAAAGAGTGATGGATTTACACAGGCTTCTTGAAAGATAGATACACACAACTTTAGAAAATGAGAGCTGTTATTCTTTTCTTGTTCTGTCTTCCCAAAGCCTGGGAGCACTGCTTTATTTTGGGATTTCTGCCGTTCCAGGTATTTTGGAAATATTTGCCGTGTCTCAGGGGATTGTTGGAATAAGAGGAGTTTTCAGCAACTCATTTCTAGCCATGTCGAAAAAAGGAAAACTACATGCAACTGTAAGTAACAATATACTCTATGTAAATATTGCTATGACACATTTGTCTTTTTAATTACACTGTTGAATAACTATTAACATTTTTTTCAGCAGGTAATCAGCACCACATCCATCTGTTTATGAAAAGTTGTAATATGAAGCAGTTGATGTTATGTAGAATATTTGCCATATTTGGCTCTGTATTTTTGCTCTTCTTTTTTTCTTTTCTACCTTTTAAATGCACGTTTTAAGTTTAATATGCAGGTGACGAGAGCATAGCAGGTATAGTACAATTGGTACTTATGGAGGATAAAACTAACTGTGTTATGTGTACGTTTATAGTGGAATGGAGATAAAAGTGTTAAGACTACATCTGTTCCCAAATTGTTCAATCATCTCTGTCACAGCCAAAAGGTGATACAGCAATAACATTTATAAATAAACACATGTTGAAGAAGTGAGAGCTCAAAGAGAACAAACTGAGAACTGAACTCTGAGAACAAAGATATTCCCCAATAGCCGAAAAGGATATAATAATTGTGCACCAAATTACCGTATTTGCCGGCGTATAAGACGGGGTTTGAGACCCAAAAAAATCGCCCGAAAATCGGGGGTCGTCTTATACGCCGGGTATACTTCGGTATACTGTATGTAGCTTCGGCTACATACAGTATACCACGCTGAGCCAATCACGGCAGGCTTTCTATTCTTTAAAACAATGCCAGTATTTACTGAATACAAAGCCTGCCGTGATTAGCTCAGCGCTGAGCCAATCACGGCAGGCTTTGTATTCAGTAAATACAGGCTTTGTATTAAAGAATAGAAAGCCTGCCGTGATTGGCTCATCGCGGTAGTAGCTGAAGGACGGAAGATGGAGGACGCTGCTGGGATCCTGGACAAGGTAAGAGACTGTAATCCCGAGTGTGGCTCGGGGTTAACACTTATGGTACTGAAAATTAACCCCCGAGCCACACTCGGGAATACCGCCAAGGAGGTTAGTAAGTGCATTTAAACATTGTTTTGGGCTATACTCGTCTTATACGACGAGTATAGCCCAAAACCTATATTTTACTCAAAAAGTGGGGGGTCGTCTTATACGCCCAGCCGTCTTATACGCCGGCAAATACGGTAATGTTTTGCAAACTCAGTTATTACGTTGTGCAGAGAACATAGCTCTGGGAGAGGCCAAGCTGGTCCACCCACTACAGGCTGCCTGCAGAAAACTACAGGTGGATACAAGACCAGTCATCCTGCAGAAGGAGAGAGAGCAGCAGTGACTTGTCTTTATTGCAGGATTACTGCACAGATCTGAAAGAAATTCACAAAGCAAGTAAGAACACACATGCCTCTTAATTTAGTCAATATTTGCTTATCCTGGAGTTCTTATCCAGCTTTAAAGTGGACCTGAACTCAAAAAGTGAAGATATAAGGTACATCTTGAAATGTACCATGAAAACTGTTTGTCTTGAACTCATCCTGCAAAATGGCAAATTAGGGATTCCTAATGCAGGAAATTGCAAGTTCCTGACACAGGAATCCCTAATCGCACCTAAAGTATAGGTGTGAATGAGGGCTAAACAGTGAAAGTACATGTGAAGGGATGAAGAGGTCATCCAAGTTATGAACGATCATAGGTCCTAGCACCAAAGCTTATACAAGGGTATGGTTTATCCTAGGCATGTGACTGATTCAACTACTGGAAACACATTGTGACAGGGCTTCAGTTGTCTTTCACATATGGAATAACACTTTTAATCACATCACTGCAATATTGCAATGAATCAAAAGTGACTATAGAAGCATTCGGATCTGGGGAGCAGGCAAACATTTTTCAGATATGACAGACCTTAACGCCTGTTGTCTAGCTATTCTTTTAAAGTAGATCTTTAGATAAAGAATTGTAACAGTAATGTGAGGAAATTCTGATTTCACTGTACACATTTTGAATGATGAGCCTTGTTCATGTAAAAGACAAAGTGTACATTTTTTCTTTATCTTTCCCTAACATTATTGGTTTATTAATATCAGCTGACAGGCCTATACCCTTTTATCTCATATAGATTCCTGTGTACAAACAGCCGAAGTGAATTATCTCAACTGTTTGATTTCTATCTGAACCTTGATGAAAAGAGGCAGTCATTTGTTTGCCATACCATGTGTAATGTTTTCAAGCAATATTAGGAATAAAAATATGTAACAAATGCCAGTTTTAGATGTATTAACTACCTTGTTTGGCCATCTATCAGCTTATTCAGTAGGGCAGTACAAATAGCAGTAGGGATATGTACAGTTCAGTAACATATAGTCCTTCAAAATATTAAAGCAAAGTCCTACTTCCAGATTTGTATTTCTGTCTCTGTGCCTGTTGCAGATTCTTCCCTTACTTACTGTTTGGAAAAACCGTTGTCCACAAGACAGGAAGTGAGGCGAAATCTCTCTAACAGAGACCCAGATAGCAGTATAAACTAGATGGGTTCTAATCCTTATTGTTACTGTATACTTGGATTGGTACTTAATACTCATCTATATATGCTTTTACTGGATTAAAGTGTGGTTTTTGTTTCTTACTAGTCATGAAGAAATGGCTTATGTGGGTAATATATTACTATGGGGCCATCACGTCTACACTCATGATCACAGCAAAATACAATATGATTCAAGAGTCAAGGATGACAGCAGTCTTTACTGAAGGGCCTTTCTGAATGTGGCAGTGTATAAATCATTTTAGGCAGAGGAGACTTGTGTTCGGGTGCGTTCTCTGTTTTTTTCCCCTTAATTCATAAGCGCTGGGTCCCATGGTCTTGCCTTAAGCACTAAAAGACTGACCTATATGAGAGTAAGGATACTGCAGAACAAATGTCTGCAGGCTAAAAAACAGAAGATAAACTTTTGAAGCACCCTAAGCTGCTGTCTGGAGATGTTCAACACAGATCTTAAAGGGAGTTTTGGCTGTCATTTTTAACAAAATGGTGTCAGCAAGAGTATGCTTGTATTTAGAATCTAAGTTTAGAGAACTAAGGTGTCCATTCAAAAAAAAAACCACAACCACGGCCATACCACTGCTTAAAAGAAAAAAAAAAAAGAAAAAGAAAAAAGACCCACTATATTTATATGGCACGGTGGTGTGCTTTACAAATGTGCACTGCGTTCTGTTGGCTTTGGGAATCCCCAGCTGGTTGAGTGCAAAACAAAGTGTATATTTAGCGCTGTGTGTATATGTATGTATATATATATATATATTGTGGCAGTGCATGGCAATGCCCCGGTGTAGCATGGCGGCTTTGGCACCCAGGACTCTCAGCCAAAGGGGCTTAGAGGGTCCAGAATGTGAACCATGTTATAAGGAAGAGCCTGGCTTTTCAGGTTCGTCCTGGTTTTCCAAATAGTAGCTGGCATCTGGAGCTCTGGGTGGGATGAGATCTCCAGTCCTGGGGTCAGGTGTTGCCAATGATCAGCCTGGGCTGATCAGGTGGCTGAGAGCAGCCTCATTAGGAAGCCAGCCTCAGGGGAGTGTTGGAGTTGTGTTGGGATTGTGTGTGTGCAGGAAGCACACGGACACAGACAAATTCAGGTGCATGCTGGACGCACAAGGAACAGCCAGGGGTGGCTGGGAGGGGTAGGAAGGTCGGTGACCCAAGGGACCTGTTGGACGCACTGCATGGAGAGCAGAGTGAGTGCCCAAGAGCGGAGAGGTCAGGAAGGACCTGTGGTACACACTGCTAAGAGAGCAGATTGAGGGCTCACGAGGGGTGAGCAGCGTGAGTGTCTTGGAGCTGTGGAAAGCTACCGAGCGAAGCTAAAAGACTGTCCTTTATGTTGCGGCTAGAAACTGTCTTGTGCAACAGGGGAGGTCTACCATGTGGATGGAATTAGATATTTGGTGTTTGCCCTAAATAAACTGCATTTTACTTGCACCTCCTGTCTACAGTGGAGAGTCCTTCTAACAAGATATATACATTATACACTGAGTGGCCAGTTTATTATGACCACCTGACGTTTGTAGGCAAATTGGCTATAATTTCGCGCTGAAGTTGCTAGAGGGCCAGACCATTATAAATAGGGAAGCAGGTTGTTAACCACGACAATAAACATGATTTTTTTCTGAAGATACGGGGAAACAACGCGATTTAACAGCCTTTGAACGTGGGATGATTGTTGGCGCTCGGAGCCATGGAGCGAGTATCAGCAAAACAGCAGAATTCGTTAAATGTTCAAGAGCAGCTGTTGTTAAAGTGTTTAAAGACCGGACTGTCAGCTGAAAATCTGGGTCTGAGCGTGCAAATTGTGGCCGTCAGCGACTAGTCAATGTTAGGGCAGAACGGAGAGTGACAAGACTGGTACAATAAAACAGAAGAGCAACAGTGCAGTGTCAGATTCCTCGCATCACCTTTCAACATGTCGTGGAGTCACGTGGCGGCCCAACAAAGTCATCTCGTGGAATTATCTCGTGGCCCAATGTCAGATAATGCAGCACTAGCACTTCGCGCAGAAAAATTCTTTCAATTACAGATGTTTTCGTCAATCTCATGTTTATTTCTTTTGTTTGTGTTGGTATGACAGAAAAAAAGTTGAGAAAGAAAAGCCAATACTGACGCATTCCACGCAAAACTCCAAAAATGGACTGGACAAAATTATTGGCACCCTCAATTAATATTTGGTAGCATATTCCTTGGAAAAAATACCTGAAATCAATCGCTTCCTGTAACCATCAATTAGTTTCTTACACCTCTCTACAGGACTTTTGGACCACTCTTCTTTCACTAACTGCTCCAGGTCTCTCAGATTAGAGGGGTTGCTTTTCCCAACTGCTGTTTTGAGATCTCTGCACAGGTGCTCTATGGGATTCGGATCTGGACTCATTGCTGGCCATTCCAGTACTCTCCAGCACTTTGTCTGAAACCATTTCTGGGTGCTTTTTGAAGTGTGCTTTGGATCATTGTCCTGCTGTAAGACCCATGACCTCTGACGGAGCCCCAACTTTCTGACACTGGGCCCTACATTGCACCCCAGAATTCTTTGGTA